ATATAAAAAGGTTGAACTCATAGAGGCAGAGAATAGAATGGTGGTTACTACAGGATGGGGTTGTGGGGGAAGATGGTGGTCAAAGGATTGTCACAGAAGGAGTAAGTTCAAGAGATCTGTTGTATAACATGATGACTACAGTTAATAACACTATATGTATTCTTGAAAATCATAAGAGAGTAGATTTTAGGTGTTCTCAACACAAAAAATGATAGGTATGTGCGGTGATGCATATGTTAATTAGCTCAATTGAGCCATGTCACAATTTCTGTGTATTTCAAAATGTGCACAATGAATTTACATATTTTTATTTGTCAATTTAAAAATTAATTTGTTGGGCCGGGCGCGGTGGCTCACGCCTGTAATCCCAGCACTTTGGGAGGCCGAGGCGGGTGGATCATGAGATCAAGAGATCGAGACCATCCTGGTCAACATAGTGAAACCCCGTCTCTACTAAAAATATAAAAAATTAGCTGAGCATGGTGGCGCATGCCTGTAATCCCAGCTACCCAGGAGGCTGAGGCAGGAGAATTGCCTGAACCGAGGAGGCGGAGGTTGCAGTGAGCCGAGATCGCGCCATTGCACTCCAGCCTGGGTAACAAGAGCGAAACTCCGTCTCAAAAAAAAAAATTAATTTGTTTTTTAAAAAGTAACAGGGATTAACCATAATTATGAAGAATTATATATCCTCCTGAAGTGAATAATCCTTGTTATTTAAATTGACTAAAGAGCTTGATAAGAAGTAACACAGAAACATAAGAATGAGAATTAAAGTCAGGCGCTGTGGCTTGCGCCTATATTCGAGGGAGACCAAGGCAGGAGGATCACTTGAGGCCAGGAGTTCAAGACCAGCCTGGGCAATATAGCAAGACCCTGTCTGTAAAAAAATTTTTATAAATAACCAGGAGGATTTGGTGTGTTCCTGTAGTCCCAGCTACTCAGGAAGCTAAGGAGGGAGGATTGCTTGAGCCCAGGAGTTTGGGCTATGTGAACTATGATTGTACCACTACATTTCAGCCTGAGCCACAGAGAGAGATCCTATCTCTAAAAACTTTAAACAATAAAGAATGAGAAGTTGAAAATCTTGTGAAGTAAAAATAGAGCTTTTATTTTCTAAGTTGAGTATACAGAAGACAAAAATTAGTTATTTTTCATATGGACTACAGAAATTACACACCATGTTATAATTCCTTTTTAGTTACCAGTATTATTGTTAAGTTTAAGCTCTTTTTCTGTTTACTGGCAAACTAAATAATTGTACATGTTTCTAAGCATATATAACGTTGATGGACAATATTTTAAGTTTCAGTCTCTAAAATAATTAACATAAGGCTGATCTCAGTATTTTGGGAAAAATACAAGTAAAATTATTGCTTGGGAACACTTTGTATAGTTTTGTTTTTGAATTTTTTAACAACAGTATTTATTCTTATAATGATTTCCTAACAGAGATCATAGATATTGAAAAATAACATAATCAGCAAGTTAAAAATTGCCTGAAAAATATGCTATATCTGGTATTTACTTTGAGTAAAGTAATTGTAGATTCACGTAATTTCTGGCACTATCTGTAAATTATAAGATTAGTTGGACTCATATATCTATATATGCCTAATCTTAAATATGTATGAGTGCAATGTTAGCCTATCTGATTTTTAAAATCAGTATAGGTTGAGTATCCCTTATCCAAAATGCTTAGGACCATAAGTATTTCAGATTGTGGGTTTTTGTTTGTTTTGCAATTTGGAATATTACCATATGCATAATAAAATGTCTTGGGTATAAGACCCAAGTCTAAACAGGAATTTCATTTATGTTTGTTGTATACCTTGTACACTTACCCTGAAGATAATTATATTTTTCCTTTGAGGATGCTGAATAAACTGAGTTCGTGTGCCTGTGTTCAGATGTGGAATTTTCTACTTGTGGCTGCATGTTGGTGCTTAAAAGATTTTCAGATTTTGGAACTTTGAAAATTAGGGATATTAGTCTTGGAAGTTTAGTTAAACTTTCTTTGAGTTTAATATGAACCAAGTTTTATATCACTATAATATTATGCTAATGTTATATTTACACTGATAAAATAAGGGAGAAGACATTACATTTGTCTCATTTACAGGCTTTGTCTTACTTTGAAATATTGATTCCCCCCTTTACAGTTAGTTGTATACCAGCTAGTAAGGTTGTTTACATATTGTACTAGATAAGCCCTGAGTGCCTCACATTTCTTTCGTATAGTGTGACCTAACAGCCAATGCGCCTGGCTCATACCACAGCTAAACGTTTTTCTTCAGAGCCAGAGCTGCAGCTGCAGCAAGAAAGATTTTCTTCAGAAACTGGCATATTTCTTTCTTTCTTTTCTTTTTTTTTTTCTTTCTTTTTATTTAAATGAGATAGCATCTTGCTCTGTAGCCCAGGCAGGATTGCAGTGGTGTGATCTCAGCTCTCTCCAACTTCCACCACCCGGGTGCAAGCGTCTGCCTCAGCCTCCCAGGTAGCCGGGATTACAGGTGTGTACCACCACACCCAGCTAATTTTTGTATTTTTATTAAAGACAGGGTTTCACCATGTTGGACAGGCTGGTCTCAAACTCCTTACCTCAAGTGATCCACTCGCCTTGACCTCCTAAAGTGCTGGGATTATAGGTGTGAGCCACCACGCCTGGCCTAGTTTTTTTTTTAATTTGGTTGTTCTTGAGGTTTTTTTAATTTTAAATTTGTGTCAGAGCCCATTAGTCTCTATAAACCTATCAGTACAGTAGCACCTTAGATTTAAAATACTTTATAAACGAATTCATTAACCTGATAATATTTTGTGTTAAAATTTCCTCAAGCTAAATATTCCTAGTGTATACACAGAATGGCAGATTTGGTGACCAACTAAAAAACTGACTAAAAGAGAATTGAAGTTTTCTTTTTCTTCTGTCACTCCAGATAAATGTTTAAACTATGTTGAGGCCGGGCGCGGTGGCTCAAGCTTGTAATCCCAGCACTTTGGGAGGCCGAGGCGGGTGGATCACGAGGTCGAGAGATCGAGACCATCCTGGTCAACATGGTGAAACCCCGTCTCTACTAAAAATACAAAAAAAAATTAGCTGGGCATGGTGGTGCGTGCCTGTAATCCCAGCTACTCAGGAGGCTGAGGCAGGAGAATTGCCTGAACCCAGGAGGCGGAGGTTGCAGTGAGCCGAGATCGCGCCATTGCACTCCAGCCTGGGTAACAAGAGCGAAACTCCGTCTCAAAAAAAAAAAAAAAAAACTATGTTGAAGTTCAGATTTCTCTGAAGGCGCTGCTATAATTCTGAAATACATGTAGTATAAATAGAAGTCTGCCATTTTACATATAGGCACAGAAGTTAGGGCTGTATTAAGCCTACATATCAGAAGCCTTGGTTCTTAAAAGGGTGGGTGGGAGGTATTACCTGTGTCAAAATCACAGTCACTGTGCTTAACTCAGGACAGACACAGGAGTTCCTTTTACTGCTGAAAGACCCACTTACCCATTAGTATGACCTAAGGAGATACAAGTAGTTGCTTTCCTCCTCCCATCATAGTCAAGAGAAACAAAACAGTCAGTAAATCAAATTTCACAACTCCACCCAACTCAAGTTTCCATAAGCTCAAGGAAGTTGGCTGGCCAGAAATCAAAATACAAAATCAGTTGTGAATTGTGGAACCTCAGACAACCTCGATTAAACCAAATAAACTTAGTGAGGACTCAGTGAAAGCAGCTAGGATTTACTGCTGAGAAAGGATCTTGAGGGACCACTGGGCACCTGTCCTGAGTACAAGGGCTGGAATAGCAGGCATTCCTGCAGGGGCTCCTCAGCGCTGGTGTTGAGGGAGGAGGGAATCAGGTTAGATTGGTGGCTCCTTTGTCATCAAAGCCTGAGGTAGAGGCCACCAGAGCTACTGAAAGGAGAAACGAGCTTATTTACTGGCCAGGCAATGAAACACAGAGAGAAGACATTCACTGAAGCAGTTTACTGAGTAGGAAGAGTAAGAGATTTTTAAGTGTTAGGGAAAGGTGGTTCTGCTCATTGTAATTAGGATTGAAAAGTAGCATTCCATGTAGCATGGAATCATTCTGGAATGTGGATGTGTACCCAGTTTTAATAACCTTGATCGTTGGTCAAGAAAAGAGCATTCGGGTAGATCCATTGAGATCTCTACCTCATCTCAATTACTCATATTGCCTGGTCATTGATTGCCTTCAGCTGACTGGACCCAGTTGTGATAAACAGTATTCTCCGTGTTAACATCTCCTACACAAGACGTACTACAAGTAGAAATTTCTTCTTTTACACTGATTTTGGGGGAAAATTTTATTTACACTAATTATGGAAATGGGTCAGGGGTGCCAGGAGGGAGCATCTTTTAAGTCACTGGGGGCCTGGGCTCTGTGTTGTCCATTGCTGAAAGCCCACTGCCTTCTAGAAATTCTGGCACAGAGTAATCTAATAAATCTTTGTTGAGTGGGGAGACAGGAGTGTGTTACTCTTTCACCACCCTCTTATGCTCCTCCTTACACCAGGGCTTCTCTGTTCACTGCAAATAACTGCTTTCTCAGTCCCATCTCCTTGTTCTCATAGGGAAAGAAGGAAGGACATTTCCACGTGGGTCCTAGGGTTAGACATCTTTCCATCAAAGAAAAAAGTACTTGTGGACATGGTTTATCTCAGTGTGGGTGGTTGTGAGTTAGAAGGTAATTAATTGTATTGAAGGTGAGGGGGAAGTGTTCCATACCGGCCCTATATACACACCCCAAAATGTCAGGGATGCTTGTATAGTTGATATGTAGAACAGGTCTCAACGAGTGGGTTTTCTAGATTGTAATGGAAAACGTAAGAAGTAGTGGTAGGCTGGAGAGTAAGCCATGTAAAGGAAATCCTGGCTGGATGACACTTGAGGGTTTTGAAGCCTCGGGGATCTGACTATGCAGTCTGCTCAGACTGCCCACTGAGGACTCAGTTGTGACTCACACTTTTCTCTCTGCGGCAGATCCAGGGCCAGAACTCTACCTCGATCCCTTCTGCCCTCCGGGTTTCTCCGGTCAGAAATTCCCCATGCAGCACGTGCTGTGTAATCATCCCCCCTGGATCTTCACATGCTTGTGTGCAGAAGGTCACATCCAGCACGGAGATCCAGGACCAGCGGACCAGGAGAGGCAGCAACAAACCTCTGATGGGAATCCCTGGAGTGATCAACCCGAAGGTCCAGGTCCGGAGGGAGAAGGTGCCAGGCCTTTGTTTGGAAAAACAAAGAAAAGGACTCTGGGAGCATTCACCAGGCCACCCCAGAGGCAGCCAGTCAGCTCTCGGAACGGCCTCAGAGGGGTGGAGTTGGAAGCCAGCCCAGCTCGGACGGGGACCCCTGAGGAAACAGACAAATTGTTGACGAGGATAGAAGTCTTAGGATTTGGAACAGTCAACTGTGGAGAGTGCGGACTGAGCTTCAGCAAGATGACAAACCTGCTCAGTCACCAGCGGATACACTCAGGGGAGAAGCCCTACGTGTGCGGGGTATGTGAGAAGGGCTTCAGCCTGAAGAAGAGCCTCGCCAGACACCAGAAGGCACACTCGGGGGAGAAGCCGATTGTGTGCAGGGAGTGTGGACGAGGCTTTAACCGGAAGTCGACGCTCATCATACACGAGCGGACACACTCTGGCGAGAAGCCTTACATGTGCAGTGAGTGTGGGCGAGGCTTCAGCCAGAAGTCCAACCTCATTATTCACCAGCGGACACACTCGGGGGAAAAGCCTTACGTGTGCCGGGAGTGCGGCAAAGGCTTCAGCCAGAAGTCGGCCGTCGTGAGACACCAGAGGACACACTTAGAGGAGAAGACCATCGTGTGCAGTGATTGTGGCCTGGGCTTCAGTGACAGGTCAAACCTCATCTCCCACCAGAGGACGCACTCCGGGGAGAAGCCCTACGCCTGCAAGGAGTGTGGGCGATGCTTCCGGCAGAGGACCACCCTTGTCAACCACCAGAGGACACACTCAAAAGAGAAGCCCTACGTGTGCGGGGTGTGTGGGCACAGCTTCAGCCAGAATTCAACCCTCATCTCTCACAGGCGGACGCACACCGGGGAGAAGCCATATGTGTGTGGCGTGTGCGGGCGAGGCTTTAGTCTCAAGTCACACCTCAACAGACACCAGAACATACACTCAGGGGAGAAGCCCATTGTGTGCAAGGACTGTGGCCGGGGCTTCAGCCAGCAATCCAACCTCATCAGACACCAGAGGACGCACTCAGGGGAGAAACCCATGGTGTGTGGGGAGTGCGGGCGAGGCTTCAGCCAGAAGTCAAACCTCGTTGCACACCAGAGGACGCACTCAGGGGAGAAGCCGTACTGTGTGCCGGGAGTGCGGGCGAGGCTTTAGCCACCAGGCGGGTCTCATCAGGCACAAGCGGAAGCACTCACGGGAGAAGCCCTACATGTGCAGGCAGTGTGGACTGGGCTTTGGCAACAAGTCGGCTCTCATCACACACAAGCGGGCTCACTCAGAAGAGAAGCCTTGTGTGTGCAGAGAGTGTGGCCAAGGCTTTATACAAAAGTCACACCTCACCTTACATCAAATGACGCAGAAGGGGGAGAAGCCGTACGGGTGCAAGACGTGTGGGCAGGGCTTCAGCCTCAAGTCTCACCTCAGCAGACACAGAAGACCAAGTCTGTCCACCATAGACTGCCGCCACGGCCCGGCCCTGAGCCGTGTGCGGGCCAACCTGCCGACTCCTTATGCTCTCTCTGAAGGCGAAGATGGCGGCAAGGACTGAGAGTCAGAATGTTGACACTTTGATGAAATGGAGTAGAGACATGCATTCCGTAAGTGGTCAAAGGACATTTGACTGTTGACTTTCTCCACACCAAGTCTCCTCCATGTTTTGTGGCCTTCGGTTGTAATAAACTTGGCTTCTTTTTACATCTGTAACTCTGGCTGCGTCCCTCATTCACTCTGTTACAGGGATAAGGAGTGATACAGACATCTGAAACTTAAGTGCAGTATTTCACAGGAATTCATTTCCTTGGAAAACCAGAGCCAAATCATTTGTAGATTTATTGGAAAGACTAGTCCTTTGTATGAGAAGAGAATCTAGGAACTATATACAGAGATGTCAGGGGAAGGGAGGGGATCTTCCAGAAAATGTGCCTTTCTCTAGTTCAGCTTCATCTGCAGCTACCTACATCCCTTGGCTCTGACAGCCCCCTTTCCTGCTTCTCTCCTCCCAGCTTTCAAACAGCTCTGTTGTTGCCTTTGCTGAATCATCTCCTGACTACCTTTGTTGCGTTTCTCAGACTTTTTAGTCCCTGGTTCTTCCATCGGGGGCCCTCTCACCAAAACATTGTCCCCAACACTCCCGTCCCGGGGCCTGGTCTTTCAACTGTGACCAAGCAAAGCCTTGGATCTCAGTTGCACCCGTATCAGACCACCAAGAAAATGGATAACCCCCAACCACCCCCAGCTATACCACCTCATCAGCACCCCGGTAACTCCAGTCAGCCACTGCATGTTTGTCTGTGATGGACTGCATTTACAATGGTGGGCTCATGAGATTATAGTGGAGCTGAAAAACTCCTCTCCCTACCGACATTGACATTGACACTACAATGACATGGTAGACCTCCCAGTGGGACAAGATATGGAGGTGGGTAGGACAGTGATATTGATAATCCTGACCCTGTATAGGCCTAGGCTAATGTGTGTGCTTGTATATGTGCTTGTATATATGTTTTTTGGGGTTTTTTGTTGTTTTTTTTTTTTGAGACAGAGTTTCGCTCTTGTTACCCAAGCTGGAGTGTAATGGTATGATCTCGGCTCACCACAACCTCCACCTCCCGGGTTCAAGCGATTCATTTGCCTCAGCCTCCCCACTAGCTGGGATTACAGACATGCACCATCACACCTGACTAATTTTGTATTTTTAGTAGAGACAGGGTTTCGCCATGTTGGTCAGTCTGGTCTCAAACCCTTGACCTCAGGTGATGCACCCACCTCAGCCTCCCAAAGTACTGGGATTACAGGCATGGGCCACCGTGCCCAGCATGTCTTAGTTTTTAACAAAAAACAAAAATTAATTTTTAAAATAGAAAATGCATATAGGGTAAGGATAAAATGAAGAATATTTTTGTACAGCTGTACAATGTGTTTTTGTTTTAAGCTAAGTTACAAGAAAGTCCAAAAGTAAGGGAAAAATTTTAAAGTTTATAGTTAAAAGTTACAGTATGCTAAGGCTAATTTATTACTGAAGAAAAATTTAAAAATCAATTGAGTGTAGCCTAGGATACAGTATTTATGTCTGTAGTAATGTACAATAGTGTCCGGGCCTTCATATTAACTCACCACTCACTGACTCACCCAGGGAACTTCCAGTTCTGCAACTTACCGTTCACAGTAAGTGCCCTGTGCAGATGTACTTTTTTTTTTTTTTTTTTTTTGGTCTTTTCTGCCGTATTTCGCCTTACTTTTTCTATGTTTACGTGTACAAATACTTACCATTGTATTACAGTTGCCCACAGTACTCAGTGCCTACAGTACGAAGCGTGACCTGCTACACAGGTTTGTAGCCTAGGAGCAATAGGCTATACCATATAGCCCAGGTGTATAGGAAGCTATGCTATCTAGGTTTGCATAAGTACACTCTACAGGGTTTGCAAAATGACTAAATCACCTAATGATTTCTCAGAATATATCCTTGTTAAGGCAACATTTGACTGTGTATGACAGTCTTTAACCATGTGTTTTCCTCGGCCCTCCAGTAACAGTGATAAAACCCTTGAAGCTGCATTCCCCAATCAGTCCTGTAATACCACTGTTGAGGACTTTCCGTCACGTTCCTTTATCCCAGGACCCAGTCCCCGTGTCAATCATCAGGTAACTGGTCTAAAGTCCTTTAGCCACGTAGTTTAAACAGTTCTCCTGTCTCACGGCTTAAGGTATTTAACCCTATGTAAATATTCTTAACCATACCTTAACCACACAGCTCCATTGTGTAGGTTTTGCTCAAAATAAGTGGCCTTCAAGGTAAAGATCATCTCAAGGGTGCAACTGTAAGACCCCTTTTTAAGACTTCAGAAGTATTTAAGTGTGTGGCTCCTAGACTATACCCAAAATGGTTCCAGATTCTAAGGGAATCATCCCATAGCAACTTGACACTCAACCCAAATGAGGGGCTTGTCTAAAATTAGAGCTTTGTGGATATGGGTTTTGTCTAATGGAATGAGACAAATGGAATGCTTCCAATAAGAAGCATAGGAAACCCATAACTGTAACAGAAACACGAGCTTGCTCTGAAAAGGACAGAAAAGCCCCTATCTCTTTCTTTGGGCAGGGAGGCAGGCTGAGAAACCTACTAAGCTGCAAGCACAGGCCATTTCTCATGGAAAAGGAAGAATCACTCGGACAGCAGACATCATGGAGAATCACTCTCAGGGGCAGTACTGTGCTACTAAGGATACTGGTGGCATATGCCCAGCTAAAATGCTGAATTTCTATGAACCAGTACCTGCTAGTTCCCCATTTTTTAATAGAAGCACTTTTCAAGGATAGTTATCTCTGAATCAACACTGGGTGTTAGATATGCTTCTTTGGTTCACAGGTCTTCAGATAAAGCATCATCTCTACCTTGACATGATTTAGAGAATGAGATCCTGATCTTTGAGCCAAAGCCATAGTGGGATAAGACTTTGGGGGCATCTTTGGAGGGTTGGGTATATATTTCACATGGAATGGACGTGTTACCTTCCCCATGTGTCTGGGCTGGTCTTAGTGACTTGCTTCATTAAGAGGGTGTAGCAGAAGTGATATAATGGGACTTCTGAGACTAGTTCATAAGAAGCCTTACAGCTTCTAATCTTGAGCCCTGCTGCCATGCTGTGAAAACTTCTAGTCACATGGAGAGGCCTTATAGAGGTACTCTTGTAATCAGCCGCAGCTGAGCTGGCCAACAGTGAGCCTGAACTCCAGTCATGTGGGAGCACTACTTTGGATGTCGTGTCCTGTCAGGCCTTTCAGATGACAAACCCTAGCCAACATCTGCAACCAATTGAGGGACTTCAAGTGAGGACCTTTCAGCCGAGCTCATTCAACTTATAGAACTGAGGCTTGGTATAGTGGTTGTTTTAAGCCTCAAATTTTAGGATTGTTTGTTATACAGCAGTAGATCATTGGAACACTTTTATAACCTGGGACTGACTTTCTAACTGATTCAAAATCTCAAAGTCATAATGAAAAAGGTCAGATTAGTCTACACAAAAATAAATTCTTCAAGGTAATTCACACAGCCAAATACAAAAGACAAACTTAGTGGAGCAGGGATGCTATCTTTCCTATCTGCATAATACCATCAGAAATGAAGTTTTAAAAATCAACAACAAAGTAGAAGATACTAAAAAATACAAGGACAGATCACAGCAAGAGAAGTCTTCTTTCATTCAAAAACATCCTTGACATCAGTAAAGATACAAATGAAGTGCATGGCCATACCACCCTGAACATGTCTGATCTCAGAAGCTAAGCAGGTCGGGCCTGGTTAGTACTTGGATGGGAGACTGTTAGGGAATACCGGGTGCTGTAGGCTTTAACAAAAAAAAAAAGATACAAATGAAAACCACACAGAGATATTTGCACCTGACAGATTAGCAGAGACTACAAATTTGAACATAGTATTGTAGACGGTAGAAATAGGCACACATATATGTTAGTCTTGGGAATCTAAATTGGCACAAGTCTTCTGGTGGACAACTTGGTAATATCTATCAAAATTTAAAATTCATATTCCCTTTGAGCTCAAAATCTCACTTAATGGAATTTATTCAGTAGCTGTACATGTTCATGCGCAAAATGATTTAGATAAGTTTTCAATGCAGTAGTGAGTAATTTCTAATTTTAGCAAAGAAAAACATGCTCAGTAGAGGAACTGTTTAAATAAAAATTATGCACAGAAAGAACAATATGCTGTCATAACAAAGAATGAGAAACATCACTATGTACTTGTATGAAAGAATCTCCAAGATTAAATCAGTGGGAGTAGGGATGGGACACACAGTCTGAGAACACTGTGTCCAGGGTGCTAAGTTTTAGGGTAAAAAGAGGCCATCAGGCTGGGTACGGTGGCTCACGCCTATAATCCCAGCACTTTGGGAGGCCAAGGTGGGCAGATCATGAGGTCAGGAGTTCAAGACCAGCCTGGCCAATATGGTGAAACCCCGTCTCTACTAAAAATACAAAAATTAGCCAGGCGTGGTGGCACGCGCCTGTAGTCCCTGCTACTTGGGAGGCTGAGGCAGAAGAATTGCTTGAACCTGGGAGGCAGAGTTTACAATGAGCCAAGATCGTGCCACTGCACTCCAGCCTGGGCAACAGAGTGAGATTCCATCTCAAAAAAATAAAAAATAAGGCCGGGCGTGGTGGCTCAAGCCTGTAATCCCAGCACTTTGGGAGGCTGAGGCGGGTGGATCACTAGGTCAAGAGATCGAGACCATCCTGGTCAACATGGTGAAACCCCGTCTCTACTAAAAATACAAAAAAATTAGCTGGGCATGGTGGCACATGCCTGTCATCCCAGCTACTCGGGAGGCTGAGGCAGGAGAATTGCCTGAACCCAGGAGGCGGAGGTTGCAGTGAGCCGAGATCGTGCCATTGTACTCCAGCCTGGGTAACAAGAGCAAAACTCTGTCTCAAAAAAAAAAAAAAGAAAGAAAGAAAGAAAGAAAAAAATAAAAAATAAAAAGAGGCAATCAAAGACCATATTTTTACAAGAATAATTTGGAAAACTTATACTTCCGAATTTCAAAACTTGGTATATTACTCCAGTAGTTAAATAATCAGTGGAGTTGTTTTTTTTTTTTAAATATAAGCCCAACAGCAGAATTTTCTTCTAAAATGGCCCACAAAGACAATTTGCATTCAAATTTGCATAAGTAAGA